AAAACTGGGCAGCGGGCCAAATCAGCTGCCAGGCCACGGGGAATTCTCCCGGTGCTCCCGATGGCCAGCCCGGGCCTGCCTTCAGCGACACCTTCAACAGGTGAGCGGCAGCAGCGCGCGGACGCGTCGGGTCGCGTCGCGTCAGCTACGTAACGCTGTGTATCTCGCAGGTGTGGCCGTCAGAGGACAGTATCACTGGGAGATCGAGGTGCACGAGACACATCCTCACACGAGCTCCAGCCCGCAGACTCACAGAAAACAGTTAGAGCAAGAAAAGGGCATTTCTCTCGAAATATGGGCGGAAGCATTCAAACGTTTAAATATGTGTGGTGTGCTATGCGACACGTGTCTGTGAGCGCGTTACTCAGCCTGCAGCAGTCGCTTTCAAATTAATAAGCGTAACGTTAAACATTAAAACAAATTAATTGACTAGAATATGAGATGCTAACACTAACATCGTGTGCCATTTGTGAGCTCATGTTTTAACTGAGGTCCTATAGCATGAATGAGGGGGAACGCTGAAGTCACGAGCGGCACTCGGGTCACGCTGTGATTGGCTCATGAACTGCAGTGAAAATTCTGACGTCACAAACCTGCCTGAAGAGTCAAAATCTTGGATCATTTAGTGTTTAGTGCATTTAGTGTATAACATCTAGTGTTTACTGATAAGTTGACCAGTTATGAAAAGGTGACGAATACAACAATAACCAACTGTGATAAATAAAAAACATGAAACGTAATAATTTAGCTGATTATTGTACATTATATTATAATATGAAAATAGCATAAATGACACTTCATGTTAATATAAAATGACAGTATCAGATGCTTGTTGAATTTACTGTGTAAATAAATGGAAACGGCATGAATTTACAAAGAGACTTTGTCTGATGTCACATGAACCTTCTAGAGTCTCTGGGAATCGTGCAGGATGCTGCTTTTAATAGCACAGCAGTAAACGCTTCCAGGCGTCATGATTAGCAGAACCGGTCACATGACAGAAACTAGAGTCTATCTGACACTCGGGGTCCTCTCTCCTGCAGACACAAATATCTGCACAATCCTCTCTTTCAGGAACGCAGCGCTGTGGCAGCACCTCTAACCCTTCAGCTGTCAGATCCTGCACTACATTCAGCCGTGTTTAGCGCTGGATAACCCTGGAGCCCTGACGCTCCGTGCCGCGAACATCACGCTACTGTGACCCGCGAGAACAGTGCTGCTTAAACACTAAAGATCTGGGCTGATTCTAGAGCTGAATAAACAAGACGGCAGCATCGGTGTGGTGTTTATTTCTTTTATTCCATAGGAACAGTTGCACATCAGTCCTGTGTAAAATAAAACTTAAAATAAAAAGTCTGTGATGCTGCGCAGGCATGCGTTAGGTCCTTAGCTCTTATTCCCGCTGCGCATGCGCTCCTCCTCCTCATCTGATGAATCTCCTCCGTACGGAACGAGTCCAGAGGAGCTGCTGGAATCTTCTGGAATCTTCATCTTCTTCATCATCATCAGCTGTTCTTCAGCTGCAGGGAGATCAGAGACTTCATCAGCTCATTCTTCATTTCAGCTTCAAGACTAAGAGTCATTAATGGGAGCAACTGAAAACTAACTCTGCATATATATATATATATATATATATATATATATATAT